GGCCTGGTGGTCTAAGTGGTTAGAGTAAAAAGTGTAGTATCCTGGCCTGGTGGTCTAAGTGGTTAGAGTAAAAAGTGTAGTATCCTGGCCTGGTGGTCTAGGTGGTTAGAATAAAAGTGTAGTATCCTGGCCTGGTGGTCTAAGTGGTTAGAATAAAAAGTGTAGTATCCTGGCCTGGTGTTCTAGGTGGTTAGAATAAAAAGTGTAGTATCCTGGCTTGGTGGTCTAGGTGGTTAAAATAAGTATTACAAGGAGTCAACGCTGTGATATAATTCAGGTGGAAAGTTTGTTTGTTACTAAGGGCTAAGCTGCACAGTTGTTTATTTGTGCTGTACGTACCGACGAAATATAACCCTGAATTTTAGTGTTGTGAGCTCACTTAACGAGTACATTTGTTTCTAAAGGTTTTGAATGCCAGGAAGCGTTTGGGAACAAATTTACTATAATTGGTAATTTTTTTTTAAAATCCCGATTTGTTTGTTTCTCAACTGAAAAAAGAAAAAAAAAACGAAGGAAAAAACTACATTTCACAACGAAACATAAATATTAACACAAACTCGCGGAGAACCATCTGCACTTATTTACAGACACAATGGTAGAGATACCATACCGAACTCCAAGGGCCAAGATACCAGCGATAGCCAAGAAAAGAAGGTGGACATTCTTCGGTGTTACATTCTTTAGTCTCGAAAGGTCTGCTGTAGACATCGCATTTGTAATCTGGCACGACTTTTCCTCTCTCGTCCCGACACGCCACCTGTCGTGATTGAAAACCTCGACCGCAGGATTTGTTGCACTGCAAGAACAGAGAGAGAGAGTATAATTAACACACAATATGACAAGGTAGGTGAAAAATATATTCAGCGAAATTTATCTTTAGCTTCAGAAATAGTCACTGTGACAAAATTCTATGTCTTATTCTGTGCTATTATTAAAGAATTTGGGGACTCCGCGCACTATGGAAAAATCTGCCCCTTGTTCCTTAAGACTATATAGATCATATGATACATACAGCTTGTAAATATCAACTCCATATATCATCATTATCAATAAAAGGCTTAAGTCTTTCTCAGTAGAAAACACACCAGCACCACTGATAGTGTAAAGATTTTAATGTCAAATATAATTAATTAATAAGTCCTTGTATACCCTGCTCCGTTGAACTAACAGATAAGCTGAGAAAACACTGTGGTCATTGTAAAACATAAATAAGCGAATGATATTTATAATTATTATTATTAATTTAGGGCAGTTTTGATTGTCACATACGCATATTTCTGGAATCTTGTAGAGGTATTTCTTCCCTGTGTTCGGGAGCCCACTGTCAGCTGGGAGGCACTGTGCGAGTGCACGTTAGTTAGTACGGGCCTAGTCATGTTCATAAACCCAACTATTTAACGGAGACAGTGCTTGTCTAAGAATGGTGATCACTGTTCGTTGGGAGAAAATAAACTGAAGCTACGTTCAACACTCTTTTCATAGGCCATAGGTCTAGACCAGGTACAACTTAGTGGTAACAGAGACAGCACACTCTAGGCCATAGGTCTACAACAGGTACAACTTAGTGGTAACAGAGACAGCACACTCTAGGCCATAGGTCTACAACAGATACAACTTAGTGGTAACAGAGACAGCACGCTTTAGGCCATAGGTCTACAACAGATACTACTTAGTGGTAACAGAGACAGCACACTCTAGGCCATAGGTCTACAACAGATACAACTTAGTGGTAACAGAGATAGCATGCTTTAGTATTTATTATAGATATTTATCACGACTAAGTCATAGTGTACGTGTATCGTGGTCTAAAATTATAATTTGTTTGCAAACCTACAAAAGGGCAATATGAGCTAGCCGTCCCCAATTTTTAAACCGAGAGTTTAGAATGAGAGGAAATTAATCAACAACGCTCCCCGCCAACACTCGGGCTAATCTAATCGAAAAATAGGATTCGACGGTCATTCTTATAACGCAACCATGGCCCCAAAATACGCAGTGAGATTTTGCAGTAAAGGGACGAGAACCATGGATCCAAAGTCCGGTAACCACTATTCACACTTGAAGTTGTAGGAAAAGTTTCCCTCTCCCGTTAAAATAGCAAGGGAGTTACTGAATGAGCTGGCTGTTGTTGTATCAAGAGAGTTACTGAATGAGCTGGTTGTTGTTGTATCAAGAGAGTTACTGAACGAGTCGATTGTTGTTGTATCAAGAGAGTTACTGAATGAGCTGGCTGTTGTTGTATCAAGAGAGTTACTGAATGAGTCGATTGTTGTTGTATCAAGAGAGTTACTGAATGAGTCGATTGTTGTTGTATCAAGAGAGTTACTGAATGAGTCGATTGTTGTTGTATCAAGAGAGTTACTGAATGAGTCGATTGTTGTTGTATCATGATAGTTACTGAACGAGTCGATTGTTGTTGTATCATGAGAGTTACTGAACGAGTCGATTGATGTTGTATCATGAGAGTTACTGAACGAGTCGATTGTTGTTGTATCAAGAGAGTTACTGAATGAGCTGGCTCTTGTTGTATCAAGAGAGTTACTGAATGAGTCGATTGTTGTTGTATCATGAGAGTTACTGAACGAGCCGGTTGTTGTTGTATCAAGAGAGTTACTGAACGAGTCGATTGTTGTATCATGAGAGTTACTGAACGAGCCGGTTGTTGTTGTATCAAGAGAGTTACTGAATGAATCGATTGTTGTTGTATCATGAGAGTTACTGAAAGAACCGGTTGTTGTTGTATCAAGAGAGTTACTGAAAGAACCGGTTGTTGTTGTATCAAGAGAGTTACTGAACGAGCCGATTATTGTTGTATCAAGAGAGTTACTGAACGAGCCGATTGTTGTTGTATCAAGAGAGTTACTGAACGAGCCGATTGTTGTTGTATCAAGAGAGTTACTGAACGAGTCGATTGTTGTTGTATCTAGAGAGTTACTGAACGAGTCGATTGTTGTTGTATCTAGAGAGTTTCTGAACGAGTCGATTGTTGTTGTATCATGAGAGTTACTGAACGAGCCGATTGTTGTTGTATCATGAGAGTTACTGAACGAGCCGATTGTTGTTGTATCATGAGAGTTACTGAATGAGTCGATTGTTG